CATACTTGCCATTTTTGAAATAAATAATATTATCCCTATGCCGTGGAGGCCTACAAGAACATGACTATCTTCGACAAAGAGAAGGTACGTGTATACTTTGACATTGCTCTTGGTTCTCATTGTAAACTCTTTTCCAATTTGAAACAATTACAAACACATACTATATTGTATTGAATATTTTATAACACACTTTGACTGCCTATTGTCATTCCATTCTGTGTTTATACACAGATGGCGGGCCTGGCCATCGTCCCACCTACATCACTGTGATTCTTTCGGCTATTGAGTAATGTGTCGCGAAAAGGTGATTGATTGAAGATTTATATTGTCTGATCAACGGCAGATCGTCACGAACTGTAATACGTTGTTTTTACGATAGAAAGCATGGCGGATTTATCTCCATTAGATATAGCGATTACTAGTTTACTTGCTAACATTGATCCCACGGAGTACAATCAGACGGTAACATATTGTAGGCTGTATATATACGGCGTTCTAAGACTATAAAAAAAGATGATACATCACTTTACAGGAAAGCTAGAGTAATTGATCGTTGATAATGACAAGTAAAAAAACCCAAGATCACCGGTTGGGCTCAGTTCAAAAACAACAACAGTTGTGTGAATTTAGACCTGACTAATGTTGACTTGTTGAAATTCTAGTGTCTGACACGCAGCTATGTTGAATGGCGTCATGAACAGGTAGTCGAAGAACGAAGATTGAGTTGTTGCAGTAAACTACGAGCCCACCCAGTAAACCATGCACTTTTGGCCGTGGACCGGCTCAATTCAGATGGGACCAAAGGGATATATTTGGATATGAGCATTATCAACACACAATTTGCGCTTACCAAGAATTATTCAGTTACTGGGATGAATGGAAGGTGCCCCACCTTTACTTTAAAGTAAGTCTAGCATCAAATAAAGATATACAATCTGCATTGGAAGTATTTCAAGCTTACTGGGATGTACAACAGCGAAATCTAACGAAGATCAGAGACGTCGTCTTTCCTTGTTTCGTAGTGATAAAGGACATCGCTCTGAAAAAGAAATAGAAGTGATGGAAAGAAAGAGTTCGAGGTCGGGCAACGGCCAACACCATATCTAACAATTTGGATACGACTGTGCTTGCAGCTAAGTATATTGGACCGTTCGTGATTGCATTGTTCGATAAAGGAGCGGGACGTACTAGGCCAGATTATCAGAAAAGCCAATCCTAAACCCAAAACCCAGGATTATCAAATACTGAGTTTTTGGATCTAGGATTCAATATTTCTGATGATAGAGTGATCAGAAATATAGCGCGACTACCGGTAGATGATACCGGGACTCCCGCGTGTGAGAGAAACACTTAAGTAAATATTGAGTCTAGTGTAGAAAATACCAAACACAAATAAAGACTCAATGCGAGTCCTTCAGCCTAGGACTTTTACTTAGCTGTAGGATTCACACTTGAGAAGAGGTCTATTGTTTCCTTTGGTCGTATCCTTTCAGTTACTCTCAAACTCTACATCGTTAACAATATCTTTACCACGGTAAGTCAAACAACAGGAATAATAGCCTGGTAAAAAAGCACTTGAGCCAGTAAAAACATTATACTAAAATCAAGAATAAGATAGCAACAGCTCGAGAATATTGTAGTGGCTGAGTTACAACGGGAGGGCGAGAAGAATACTTCTCTACAGTGGGAAAAGAGCTGCCTAACAGCAAAGAATACTTAGTGGAAAGACAAAGGAAGAGTAGAGAAGAAGCAGGAACCTCTCGGGAACAAAACAAGTCTGACAAGCCATATACGCAGTAAGTATTTTTAAACGTCAGGTGACCCAATGGTAAGTTCATCTGAGAAATACACGTGTAAAAATATCTGACCTGTCAAGTTGATAACATTATCAATGTTGGACAAAGAAAATTCAGAAAAGTGACAAGGTGATAACTTCTTTTATTGAGTGGCAGGGCCAGAACCTAGTAGTACCTAAACAACGAACAAGGTGCATAATTAGCCCAACACAATTAGCTCAACAGTGTGCAATAGTACTAAACAACAACGTGAGTCCCGCTACACAAGACACGAGCAAAGGTACAAAAAGTCACACTGAAACAAGGGCACCCTACAAATAGAATAACAGTAAGATCAACAAGCCAAATCACGAATCTGAAGCTGCAGCCCATTAACAAGAAAGAGACATTCAATAGACACGGTACAAGAGAGAGAGGATAACAACACAATACACCAGAACTCGCACTTGGGCCTTTCCACAAGATAGTCCTACTCCCCATTTATAGAAGTGAAATCTTATACAGAAGCTCAAAGAACTTCATAAGAAGGCGCAATAAGTCATCTATAAGAACAGTTACATAAGCCTTACACACTAACAGAAGCTTGCAAATGAACAGCATGAAACACTCAATTAAATCACGAATTGTGTGACACAAAAAGGGTAAATCACAAGCACGAATTTAGTGACATCAATTGCATAAATCACAAGGAATAAGAGTGTTACACAAATTTATTATAAACACCTATACAAAGCAAAGACAATCACAGAGAGCCAAACATGCATTAGAGTCTTAACAAAAGAACACAAGATAAACATTGACACAAATACGTGTAACAAGTACATATATACTAGAAGGTACTAGAGACAAATCTGCGGTCAAACACATACGAGTTCAAACGCCAGCCTAAAATTGATTGACATGACGTGTTAGAACAACATAAGGCGAGACAACAGATCGGGCACACGAACGATCTTGAGCAACATCGAACGCAGCCACACACACCTCAACACCATAGGTGATCATGCTCAACATTGAGCTCTCATAATACAATTATGCGCTTATAACACTTAGTACACATACAAAGCAGAGTCCAAAGCATACGATTGAAGATAATAAAAAGTTACAAACTAGTTCAATCAATCAGATCTGACAATCACCAGCCAGCAAGCCGTGAAATTGCAAAGCCAATGCACATAGATCACAATCAGGGTACACACGTAGACACCTACACATGAGAAACATAGAACACGGTGCAAATTAAGAACAACGCTTACACATGAAGGCTAGAAGGTACACACAACAAGCATGTACAATGCAGTGAAGACTAGTAACGCACTCCACGCTACAAGTCATTCCAACACCAGGAATCACACACACACATCCAAAGTTACCTCAAGCAACTCAGCAAAAGGGAACTAATTCATGGACATCACATGAAAAGATGAGATTACAACGATTGAGCTTCAGTCACGGAGTACACAACCCACAGTGAGAGTCTAAGACATGGTTTGGCAATAGCTTGAGACAGTAACACAAAGCATCATTCTTCCAATCCACAAAAATACCAGAAGCCCACAGACTCTATAAGGTGCACACCAGCAGTGCAAATTTGCAATTCACTAAACAATACATAGATATCAGAAGTTCGGTACAATAACAACCACACACAAAGCGGACAATACGATATACATATCAAAAGTTCGGTACAGTGCCATGCGACACAAGTATAAACTAAATCTCAAAGTCACAGAGACAGTTGAATCCAACACACGCACACAGTGAAATCACACTAACACAAGCACAACAGTTGACCAAACGATATACATCTATCAGAAAACGGTGACGTATGCACAACAGTTGACTAAACGATATACATGTATCAGAAAACGGTGACGTATGCACAACAGTGGACTAAATAATAATAATGATAATATATATATATACGAGTTCGGTACAGTGCCATAAAACACAACCACATTGCCACATGTTTTTATAAATCAATTTATAAACCAAAAGTTGCACATACAGCAAACTGAGTGTACGCAAGAAGCCAGGTTTATCGCAAGTACGCAAATAAACCGGGATAAACTCAAGTTTATCCACTTCAACCAAAAATTCGCAATATAAGCCCAGGTATTGCAAAGAACGTCGAATTGAGCAGAGCAAGGGCAAGTCACTACACACGTCTTCACTACTTGACATTAAGGAAGCACAAACAAAGGTAATCAATCGATTTTACTGAAATTTGCGTGTGCGCATAAGAGAAACTTATACTCGACGTTAGACAACATTGGGTAACTACGCAGTCTGACACAGCAATAAACGTATCACACGCAGCATAGTCAATGACTTCTGCTCCATATCAACGAACACGTACAGCACGACGAAGCCTACGCACACAAGTGAGCTCAAACAGAACACAGACTAGAAGCAACACAAGTCATACGACCAGGACACGTCTAGAAACAGCACCCACAATGCCAGTTTCGCAAGCATCGTCACGCACTTCTACCCCACACACTGGGGATAGAGCGATGCACATCGACGATGAGTCCAAACCAGCGCGAGCTCCAATGGATCCAGCGATGAGTGAGTATAACATAGTCTTGGACAAGACCATCTATGAGCACAACTACTACATTGTAGATATACTAGTAGACAAGTTGTATGTACAAACAGCGGACGATCCCATTGACATCAAAGCATTCGACAAACTGTGCAAAGCTTTCCATGAAGAACAACCCAAGCAATTAATTACAGTAATAGATGAGTGGTTAGTAGAGCTATATAATAAAGCTATGAAGAACTGTGACAAAAGTGATCACGATTAGTGCATTGCGATCAGTGACTTTATGAGCGAGTTAACTCTAACTAGATCTCACGAAGGGGACAAAGCTTCAGAACCAGAACTGAACAAACTACTCAAGATGAGTGAGTTCCCTAAGTGGCCAATAGGCAAACAGATCAGCATGGCTGATTGTCGTGATACAATTGAGTTTGTATCTGTAGCCAACGACTAGCACAAACATGCCATTGATACAGTACCTGTCATAAGTACAAGAGTTGCTCAGACAGACAGACGCAACAGAAGTACCACGCACTGCACTGAACAATATACGTAGTACCAAAAAGCTTGGCAAGACTTCACTGATGTGGAAGACTACAATATATTGATCATTGACAACCTACGTTGCACTCCAGTAGACTATCTACTCGAGAAGTGGCTCAACGACTTCAAGGACACTCGTATGAATGTCGGAGTACGGGCAGCACGGTTGCGTCGCAGAATGTTTGAGTTAGAGAAGCGTTACAGGGGCACGGAGAGAGAGGCTATCAATTGGCAACTCCTCAAAGCATCGCGTTACCAAGTACTAGTCATGTACGGTTTGCACACGGAATCGGACAAACTGATCAAGCTCAGACAAAACCAGACGGTAGTAGTGGACACTTATCTGACATCTCAGAGAATGAACTCACCGAAGTCATGATCCGACAAGTAACGATACTACAAGCTAATCGCAAACGTGAAAACAAGCGAGCGAAAAACGCAATTGCTCATGAGCCACGAGCCACGAGCCCCAGACTGGACGTACCTCTAGGGGGTACATCCTGAGGGGGGGGGACCACCAAGAGGGGGAGGCCTACCAAGAGGTGGAGGTCCACCAAGAGGTGGAGGTCCACCAGGAGGGCAAGGCAGAGGTCGTCCCATATGACAGGCCACTGACACCCCAGCGACGCGAGGACCACGACCTTGCCCACACTGTGATATAAACCCTTCACCACATGCGTTCAGCAAGTGCCCCAACAAAGCGGAAAACAACCGTCTAAAGGCAGAAGCACGAGCAGCCCAACAGAACCAAACCGTCCATGTCGATCTGTTGGCTATCACAAATGGCAATAAGGTGCAAGAGATGGATGAAGATCTTTGAAAAGCTTGGTGGTCGGAGGCTAACATGATAAACATGGTAGATATTGTGAATGCACACACTAATGAAGAAATGTTGTTAATAAATGCGGATGATATTGATTACACACCCATTTTCTTTACTTCCGAATCTACGAGACAAAAGATTGCACATAGACATACAAATCAATGGCACCACGTACAATGCACTAGTACACTTAAGGGCACACCCCTCTTGTATGGACCGAAGTGTAGTAACTGAACTATACCTATCTGTAAAAGCACAACCTGGATACATACAACTCGCACAATCAGATGCAAGAGTACAACGCACAGGCTCCACAGAAGTATGTGATATAAAATATGGAGGCAGAAAAACGTCAAACTGCTTCGAGGTACTTGACCTCCCAGGATGGACATTTTACCATACTTGGGCATATACTTAGCGGGAATAATTAACCCACTAATATCGACAGATGTCAAGTGGGAATCACTTCTTACACCACATGAAGAAGACCCTGAACATGAACAAGAAGGATTCAGAGAATCACTCTCAGACTTGTTAGAACAAAATGGGTAGATACCACCAGATGTACACTGCAATCTACCAGGTTCAGTGGTAGAAATACCAAGTCAAGAGGTCAAAGCCAAGAGCATTCGTCATGCTAAAGAGAATTTTGTTCCACACAAATACATACCACAAACAGATGAAACTGTTCAGAAATGGGTCAAAGATGGACACATATACAAAAGAACAACATCCACACAAGTGAACCTGCTACTACTATCCACGGGAGAATTTGAATAAACAGCGGGGATAATTAACATACTAATACCAACAGATGCCAAGTGGGAATCACTTCTTACACCACACGAAGACGACCCTGAA